CTGGGTGTCCCCCATGCACCCACAGTGAGGCTACTGAAGCCAGGAGCCCCTCATGGCTCTCACACAGGTACAGAAATGTCCCATCTCCAAGGCCCCATCTGCCTATGGCAGATACCAGGCAACCTTCCACTTGTGCCAGCCTCAGGGCCAGTGGGAGCCTCAGCAAAGAGGTCTGCACTGGGCAGAGCTCTCATCCTGGGTCAAGCACTTATCCCAACACTCCACCCAGACTCCAGAACATCTTCCTAGAATGGGAATCTGATCATACCCCTCTCCTGCTTATAACCCTCTCCACTGACAGGCAGCTAGCATCCGGACTCCTAGGTCTGCCCTCCCTGGCCCTAGGCCCCAGGCCAGCTGGCCCTTTGCTCCCTGTGCCTTGGACATTTGTCCCCCAGCCTAAGCCTCCTGCCTCCCTCCTGCTCCACACCTTGCTCCTCTGGGATCCCACAGCACTGGGCCTGGGAGCAGAGCCTTGCTTCCCATAGTTATTATCTCCTTGTTAGCTGGCCCCCCAAACTGGGAGCTCCTTGAGGGCAGGGAATATATAGGATTTATCTGAGTGTCCCCAGCACCTAGCCCCGAGCCTGGCACATAGACGGTGTTTGGCAAATGTCATGGTAAGAGGGAAATGGGGCGCCTGGGTGGCTCAGTGGGTTAAGCCTCTGCCTTCGGCTCAGGTCATTGTCCCAGGCTCCTGGGATCAAGCCCCACATCGGGCTCTCTGCTCCGAGGGCAGCCTGCTTCCTCCTCTCTCTCTGCCTGCCTCTCTGCCTACTTGTGATCTCTGTCAAATAAATAAATTATATATATATATATATGGGGGAATTGCAGGGAGGGAGGAGGGAAGAAGTGGGATTGGAAGAGAAGAGGAAGGAAGGGGAGGAGAGTCAGTTTGTCTCCTTCCTTTCTTCCCTTTCACATTCTCAGCTCAGTCCAAGGCCTCACTCAGCCATGGTGATGCAGCCAGGTGGGGCTAAGCCAGGGAGCAGAGATGGGGAGGAGGAGTGGGGTGGGGGGGCGGTGAGGAGGAAGCTGCTGAAGCAGCAGCACCTCTATGCAGAGGCTTAAGAGCTATTTGTGTGCTACCTGCTAAGCCCCTAATCCTCCATGGCCAAGTCAGAGCCCTGCACCTGGGCTCCAAGGGGGCCGGGCTCAAGAAACCTAGAGATAGGTGCCACCATCTTCAGAGAGAGCCACCCCCAGCTGCCCACTTCCACAGATCATCCCCAAGCCTGACAGAGGGGCCAATGCTCAGAAAGTCACCCACTCGGGGACTTGTCCCTTGGTGTGCTCCTGGGCCCTCTCTGGAGCACCTGGCATGGGAGAAGAAAGCTCGGACTGGGGAGTCAGACAGCCGGTTCACTTCTGGCTCTGCTGAGGAACATTAACCCTCCGAGCCCATTTCCTCAGCGGTCAGAGAGTATGGAGTGAGACCTCCTAACGAGGGGCCAGGAGTCATCCATTCATTTGACAACTATTTATTGAGCCGCTACCCCAAGCTGCCTGCTCAGATGCAGCAAAGTACAGGCGAGGCCAGCCCTGGACTCTGGAGAGGTGGGCAGTGAGTCATAAGGGGACAAATAAGACCATCGCTGATAGTGATCAGTTCTGAATAGAAAACCAGTGGGATGGAGTGGGGGCCCTCGTCTGTAGACTTGGGGTCCTCACCAAGGAGTGCATGGCAAATTGAGACCAGACCTTTGTAACCTGAGTTAGACTCTTAAGAGGCTAACGCTGTCGGTCATTGATCACTTATAGGCAACAGAGTAGGAAACTGAGGCATAGGGAAGGGAGGGGGCTGGGTTGCACCCAGGCTATGTGCCTACAGAGTCTTGGTCCAGATGTAAGGGTAAGTGTAAAGGGACTATGCCCAACTGAGGGGGACCATGACACCTAAATTGTAAAGTTAGGAGGTCTGTGACTGGGCCTTGGTGGGAAAGCAGGTCATGTCTACCCAGCAGGTGGGCATGGATCTCCCAAGGTTTCCTAGTTCCAACAAACTGAGGCCAGAAAGGCCAGAAGCCTCCCCAGTCTAGAATCCAGTGCCACCCTCTGCCCTCTGGGCCACCACTGCTGCCCTAAGCCCATGTGAGTCAGGCTAGTGGCTTTCCCATCAGCCCGGCACAACCCTTTTTTGGTCATTTATACCATGGTATGAATGGCAGCAGATCTTTCCTGAGAGCTGTCTTTGGTGTGGGGAGGGAGGCAAGGCCAGGCAGGTGACAGCCCAGATTTGTCACATGACCTGGGCCACGGACCCACTGCCTCAGTCTCTCCACCTGTGCAATGTAGTAGGGAGGATCAGAGGAGGTGACTTCTAATGACTAACTGCTCACTGTGAGCCAGTTGCTCTGAACAAGGAGTATTTTTAGTTTAAAAAAAGGTTCTTTGTCGTCCCTCACAGAATACAGTGCAATGTCACCCTGTGAGGCCTTTAATTCCCCATGGCCATGGTCCTGTGAGGGAGGGTCATTAAACTCTGAGACTTAGAGAGGGAAGCACTGACTGAGATAACCTAGATCTACTCCCTCGATCTACAAATACTAAGCACCTACTATGTGCCAGCCTCTGAGGATGATACTCCAGTGAACAGAACAGACGGAAATCCCAGCTCTCTCCAGTGCACGGGGAAATGATTTACAGCGTTCTGCTACGTGCCGAGCACCACAACCCTGTTTAGAGCTGGGCAGACCACCTCCACCCTTGCCTGCTCAGATGACAGCCTGTGAGATGGACAAAAAAACATGTGAACAGAACATAGAAGTTTCCAGGGTGTTCTAAGCATTAGGAGGAGGTGAAGGCAAGGCATTGAGGTCTAGGGTTGGGGGCTCACAGGGCTGTGTGTGGGCTGGTCTTGGCCCAGGGAATCAGGGCTCCTCCCTCCATGTGGCTACTGGGGCCTACGTCAGAGTCAAACCCTCCACCTTGACCTCATTAGCATTGGGCCTAATCCCTGAGCCAGCACCTTAAACTGCGAGAGGTCACACCGCACCCCCATGCCTTCCCTGCACTCATTCATTCCACCAGCACACATTTCGTCAGCAGCCCCCATATGCAAGCCTTGACACCACCCGGGACAGGCAGGGTCTGGAGCCCCAGGCGAGCTGGAGGGAAGGGGGTACTCTCCTGAGTGAACAGGTCTGGTGGGAAGGGACTACACAAAAGAGAATCTTAGGGAAGGAAGTCTTGGAGACAGGGACACATCCCCTACTGGCTCCTTCCATCACCAAGTTCACTGTGCAAACTTCACCTTCCCGGGCTGCTCCAAATGACAGTGTGTGGGAGGGGGTGGCAATCGGAACTTTTCCTATTCCATTGGTTTCAGGATGTGTTTGTTTGCAAGCCCTGACAACCCCCCAGAACGATACTTCCTGCAGACATCATCCCTCTCCGTGGCATTTGTCAGAGCTGAGCACCGTCTGGGGAGCACAGTTGGTGCTCCATACACATCTGTGGCTGGAGGGTGGTCCTCAAGCACCCCTGTGCTGGGCACTCCCATCTGCCTCACATCATTCCTCAGAAGCATGGCTGTGCTCCCTTCACTGATGGGGTGGACCTGTCCATGCCAAGCCTCCATTTGCCCCCAGAACCTGCCCTCCTGGAGTTACCTGTCACACAGCTTCCAAGACCCACTGACCCAGCCCAGACTGACCAGACGTCCCTGGATGTGCCCTGTGTGCTACAGTGTCCAACCAGGTCTGTTTCCAGGCTCAGCCTAGCCTTCACACTGGAGTTCCCAGGAGGCTGGGACCAAGCCGGACTTGCTCACGATAGCAATCGTGCCCAGCACAGCACCTGGCACATAGCCACCTCCTGGATGCAAGGCCTTGCTTCAGGAGACTTGAGAGCCTCTGTCCCCTTCCTGCTCCAGTCACCCTCTCCCTGCTCCCCTGTTCTGTCCTCACTTCCTCCAATATATCTTTGGGTGCATTTGAGCCATGTTTCTACCCCTGAGATCTGCCCAAGCCACTGTCCGCTGCCCAGGCTCTTCAGCTTGGCATGGAGACCCACCACAGCTGGCCCTGGAGCCCGAGTGCAGCCTCAGCCCAGACAGGCCTCAGGCCTCCTCCAGCCCTTGACTTCAGTCTCACCCACTTGGCAACCTAGCAAAATATTCCCCTTCCTCAAACACCCAAACTTGCCCTCCATAGACGCCTCTCCTTTATAGACAGTCTCCCCGCCCTGTATCTGTTCCTCCCACACCAGAGTCCTCCCCGCCCCATCACCTCCTCCTTTCTGGATCTTTGTATCCCCAGTGGTCTGTACATAAATATTTAATGAACGAGACAGTGAGTGAATTCCAACCCGAATACCTATTGAGCTCCTGGGCTGTGCCGGGCTGTATGTCTGGCCTGGAGAGTGCAGAGCCGGCAGGACATGGCCCCTGCCCTCACGGAGCTCATAATCTGGTGAGATGGGCTAGGGTCAGGGCCCGGCACCTGAGTGAGCCAGGAGGTGACAGGTAGGGAAGAAATAGGTAGGGAGCTGGGTGAGGGGTTGCGAGACTTGAGAGAACTACCAGGGCCTCCACCCTCAGGGAGCTTGTGGTCCAGCGGGGAGACAAAGCCAGCTCACATGAAGTGAGAGAGACATGGCATGGAGCCAGTGGTCCCAATGCCAGGCCATGGCCACCAGATTGATAGGAGCCTAGATTCCTGGGGACCAGAAGAGTTGGGGGCGGACCTCCTGCTCTTTCCCAGGGCCCCTAGCTCCTCCCATCTCTGGCCCCAGGCTTCTGTCTAGAGTCACCTTGGCCCCTCTTGGAAGCCAATTAGGTCCCCCAGTTGCAGCAGTGGGGATTAATATGATTAATAACGCCCCCAATCTCCCAGGTGCTGATTCAGCCAGGAGCTTAGGGAGGGGAGGTCACTTTATAAAGTGCTGGGGGGTGGTCAGCGCACGGAGTTGTCCAGCCAGAGCCCTGGGTGGCTGAGCTCAGGCCTCCGCAGCACTCTTGGGTCTGAGCCGCCCACGGGGCAGCCACCAGGACCGCAGCCATGAACGGGACAGAGGGCCCGAACTTCTACGTGCCCTTCTCCAACAAGACGGGCGTGGTGCGCAGCCCCTTCGAGTACCCTCAGTACTACCTGGCCGAGCCATGGCAGTTCTCCATGCTGGCTGCCTACATGTTCCTGCTGATCGTGCTCGGCTTCCCCATCAACTTCCTCACGCTCTACGTCACCATCCAGCACAAGAAGCTGCGCACGCCGCTCAACTACATCCTGCTCAACCTGGCCGTGGCCGACCTCTTCATGGTCTTTGGGGGCTTCACCACCACCGTCTACACCTCGCTGCACGGATACTTTGTCTTCGGGCCCACGGGATGCAATCTGGAGGGCTTCTTTGCCACGCTGGGCGGTATGAGCCAGGGTAGGGGTGGCGGAGTGGGGGATGCAGGAGCCAGAGGGAGCAGAGGGATCTGGAGACAGCCCGGGGATGGTGGCTAAGAGGCCTTCTCCCCACTACATCAGTCTCCCATCCAAGTACTAACCAGGCCCGACCCTGCTTAGCTTCCAAGATCAGACAAGATCGGGCGCGTTCAGGGTGGTAGGGCCATAAACAGCATCAGTGATGATACACTAGGCTGTTTATGGAGGGCAGCCCTAGGCACAGTTGATCTCGTGTAGAGTGGTGCTGCTGTCTTGCTTTATATCAGGGAAACTGAGCATGAGAGACGTCAAGGGCCTTGCTGGGGTCTCACTATGGTGGGGCTAGAGCTGTGTTTCCAGCCCACGTCACAATGGCCCCTCGGGTCTTGTTCTGTAACCCTCAGAGCACCTGTGCTGGGTCAGACCCATGTCGAGCACTGGGAAGAGAGATGGGCAGGACAGATCCCTGTTCTCAGGGCTCTCAGCCCAGGGTGGGACAGTCGTGTCCCACCAGATGGGATGATGATCATCCTCCCAGATGATCAGTCCTCCAGCCACTGGACTCCACCTGTGCTGGCCAGTGGGCTCAGTCTCTCCCCACTGGCATCTCCGACCTGCAGAGAAGGGTCCGTCTGTATGTGGGACCCCTGTTTCACCCCCGCCTGTGGCCTGCCGCTGGGTGATCTGTGGTCATCAAAGGTGACAAACACCCAGTGATGGCTAGAGATTCCCTGGGAATGGGGCTGAAACAGCGTCGGGGACACGTAAAGGAAAGAGGAGGCGAGGAGGCCGAGCAGTCCTTGTGGCTGGTGTTAGGCTCTGCCAGCTGCCCTCGGCTCTCTCCTGCTTGCCTAAGAGGCTGTGTGTCCCAGAGAAGGGGGCCCATTCCTGGTCTGAGCCAGGAGACCCAGGCCCTGGTCACTGCCCTCCCACATCCCTGCATGTGTCTCTTCCCTTCTCCGGGTCTCTCTTTGCTCAGCTGCGAAATGGGGTCTGTTATCTCTTGCAGTAACCCCATCGGTTTTCCAGGCAAAGAAACTATTCAAAAGCATCCTTCAAAGCTACAGATCACCACACAGTGTAATGCCTTCCTGTGGATGGGGCTTCTTCGAAGGGAAGGAGCTTCCCCACACAGAAAGGCTGGAGGTGGGCTGGGAAGTCTCTGGCTAGAAGGCAGGGGTGAGGCAGGTGCCACGTGCAGGCACATCTCTGTAGGGTTGGTGCCAGCTTACGATTATTATCCTGGAGTAATAATTAGTCGTGTTCGCTTTCTCTCTCAGAAACATCCCGACTTGGTTGATAAATTCTATGGCCAACCTCCCTATTGAGTTTCTGGGGGTGATATCTGAATCCCCCCATTCTGTCCTGATTTTACCTATGTGGACCCACAGACCCAGGTTATTTCATTCTCCAAGGGAGGGAAGGACTTCCAACTCCAACAGGCCCTCTGCCTGTCACCCCAAAAAGCACATGTTCTTCTGTAAAAACTCCCTACGGGGTTCCCAGTGTAACAATGACCCTGGGATCCAATTTTCCATTCCTCACGAACCCAGAGCCCTTACTGAACTAAATCCTCTTCCTAGGGGATGCTCTGCTCACTCTCCTTCTGCATCTGGGTCCTTCTGCTCCACAGCCCCTTCGCCTCTCCATCCCTGGTCCTGGCTCCAGCCCTGCCCTAGTTTGCCTTTCTGGCTGCCCTCTCCATTCCAGGAAGAGCACTTCCTGCTTGGACAGACAGCAGGGTCCAGGTGGGTGGTGTGCTGACTGATCCCTGACTGCCTTGCAGGTGAAATTGCCCTGTGGTCTTTGGTGGTTTTGGCCATTGAGCGGTACGTGGTGGTGTGTAAGCCCATGAGCAACTTCCGCTTCGGGGAGAACCATGCCATCATGGGCGTCGCCTTCACCTGGGTCATGGCCCTGGCCTGTGCTGCACCCCCCCTCGTTGGCTGGTCCAGGTAATGACACTGAGTAGAAAAGAAGGGTCCCCAGGGGGTCTTTGTAGGGTCTCCCAGCCAGGGCTCAAAGCTGGCACTGTCTGCTCTGGGCATCCAGCTTATATGCCCCCTACCCCCCATGCCCACCCTGGTAGCTCTCCCAAGGGAGGGGTTTAGGGCAGGGAAAGAGAGAAACAGACCCTAATGCTGCTATGGGGGCTGGTCCCATCTCCTGAGCCCCCATGTCAAGGAGAATCCAAGATGCCTCAACCCTTCACCTTGGCTCTGCCCCTAATCCTCAACTAAGCCAGGGCCAGATTCCAATCCTCTTTGCCCCATAGGCAGTTCCCTCTGACCTTGGGCCTCAGCACCTGGGGAGGCCAAGTCTATCTAGTGCCGGTGGTGACATGGTAGCCCCTGGGAACTTGGTCCTCTGCAGCCTCTAGTCCATGATCTCCAAATGGGGCTCAGATGAGAGATGGGAGGACAGTGGTTTGGGAAACTGGGCTGTGGGTTCCCAGAGGCCTTGCGTCCCTCTGCTTCTAGGAAATTCCAAATCTCTCTTCCCTTCCCTCCTCTCTCATCCTCCTGGGGTCAATTTTTTGTACCTTGTTGGGTCTGAGCCCGCCCCCTCCAGCATCTTCCCCTGTCTTCTCCAGTCCTGCCCAGTCCCATCCCCCCAGGCACAGCCAACAGCCACTCGGGCCACTCCATTGTCACCATCCTCTGAAATCACATGGCCCCGGGACCTCTTGTTTCTACAAAATGTGCAAAGATCCCTTAGTTAACCTGTGTGCCCATCTTTGGCCTAGAAGACACCCTTACGCTGTCAGTAAGACCCTGGTTTATACAAACTGCTTCAGATAAAGAGTTTGGGAGCTTTTCCCTTCTCCCCACCAACCTCTGCCCTACACAGCCTGAGGCCCGGCCTCCAGCCATGGGGAGCAGCAGGTCTGGTGAGGAAACCCAGCGCAAGTCAGCGGTATACGGGCTCTGCTAGGCAAGAGACTAGGCCATCTCCGGATACCATGGCTGCTGTACAACCAAACCATAGTTTTCACCAGGTGCATTTGAACCCCTCATCTCAGTTGATTTGATCCCCACAGTCACGCAGCCAAGCCAAGCAGGTATTTCATCACATCCATTTTACAGAGAGGGAAAACAAGGCCCAGAGCAAGACCAGCCACATAGCAGGTGTGTTGGCCGAACCAGGGCCCTGACCGGCTGCAGCCTATGCCCAAGTCCCTCACACGTGGGTGTCCCTTATGCCCTCTCCTGTTCCCCCTGCCCCGCACACCCCTGGTGCTCAGGTATATCCCAGAGGGCATGCAGTGCTCGTGCGGGATCGACTACTACACACTCAGCCCAGAGGTCAACAACGAGTCCTTTGTCATCTACATGTTCGTGGTCCACTTCACCATCCCTATGATCATCATATTCTTCTGCTATGGCCAACTCGTCTTTACAGTCAAGGAGGTATGGTCCCATGTCGGGCGCTGGGGACGCATGCGTTGGTTGGGATGAGCCCGGCCCCTGTCCCAAGGGAGTCTGGATAGCAGGCCCTGTGTCCCTGCAGGCGGCTGCCCAGCAGCAGGAGTCGGCCACCACACAGAAGGCTGAGAAGGAGGTCACACGCATGGTCATCATCATGGTCATCGCATTCCTGATCTGCTGGGTGCCCTACGCCAGCGTCGCATTCTACATCTTCACTCACCAGGGCTCCAACTTTGGCCCCATCTTCATGACCATCCCAGCATTCTTTGCCAAGTCCTCCTCCATCTACAACCCTGTCATCTATATCATGATGAACAAGCAGGTGCCTGATGGTGGGGCAAGAGGGGCCAGGGGCCCAAGCTGCAGGCACTGCCTGCAGAGGACAAGCCACAGCCCGGACTGGGCCTCAGTCACTCCACCTGCAAAACCAGGCAGGGAGACTGGTATCTCCCAGGGCATCAGCGTCATCTGGGAGAAATACACAATCAGAAGCTTGGGGTGGGCCCAGGAACTCGCATTTCTAACAAGCCCTCCCGGTGTCTCTGATGCATGAGAGGTGCCAGTCCAGATAGTTCTGGAGACCCACTTTAAAAGTCAAAGAGTGTACGTCCCAAGCCTGGGAATGTGATGGTGCCAGTCTCCACAAAGCTGAACACAGAGCTAAGTCTTATGCTGAGGGATGAATGGATAAAGCAGTTCTTTAAACATCGACCAGTGACTTCTCTGCAGAATCCATGATCCAGTGGGGGAAAACGTGGTCTCTGGAGTTACGCATATCCGTTTCAAATCTCAGCTTTCATATTCTAGCTGTGTGACTTAGGCAAATCGTGCCCTTTTCTGGGCCTCAGTGTCTTCATTCCTAGAAAGGGCGAACTCCTAAACTCTAGGGTTAAATACGATAACTTACAAATAACCCTTGGCACACAGAGGACACCAGAGAAGGTCATGAGTAGCAAAACCCTGTTGGATTTGGTCCCTGGCATCTCTGGGGCGGGGCCACGTGTGCTTACGAAGTTCCCTCCAGGGAGCCAGATTTGAGAGGGGCGTGGATCCTGGGAGGGCCAGAAGCAGGGAAGGGGTTGGAGGCAAATCTTGCCAACCACCACAGTCTGCTACATACACTTCCAGCGGACCCTGACCCCGACTCGTGTCTTTTGCCTTCTAGTTCCGGAACTGCATGATCACTACGCTGTGCTGCGGCAAGAACCCACTGGGTGATGACGAGGCCTCCACCAGCACCTCCAAGACGGAGACCAGCCAGGTGGCACCGGCCTAAGCCCTGCCAAGGACTCTACTCTACGGCCGACTGTAGAAGTCTCCCATTCCCCACACCTAGCCCCAGCCACAGCTGCCCCACAGGAGCCAGGCCTGTCGGAATCAGGCTGTGCAGGCTCCCTGAATTAAAATTATTATTATTATTATTATTGAGAGAAAGATGAGGTTCCCCACTTGGCCAGAACGCCCCATCTGAGTCCTGAGTTCCCAGGGGTCATGGGATCGCTGTCCCTCCTCCCCCCAACTCATCTCTCAAGAACAAAAGAACTCTTGCTCTCTGGAAAAGTGTCCCGGCTTAGGGATAAGTGTCTAGCACAGAGTGGGGCACACAGTAGGTGCTTAATAAATGCTAGATGGATGAAGGAAGGAATGAATGGAGGAATGAGTGAAGGAATGAATGGGCTGGGAGAGCTCATCTATCCTCTCAAAACCACCTTAGCAGCAGCTGGCCCTCAGCTGATCACCTTGAGCACTGGTTTCCCTCCCCGGGGCCTCACTTTCTTTCTGGAAATCCCAGATCCCTGGCTCTGCCAACGCATGGCTGCTGTGAAATCAAATAGGATTTTGTGTGTGCAGGTGCCTGTGTGTGTGAGAGCATGTAAGCACTTTGTAAATGGTAAAGGGCTGTACAGATTGTAGTTAACATTACGAATAATATAAATTAATATAATTAATTAATTAATATGATCATCTCCTCTTGATAGTGACCGTTTTGAGATTGGGCAAAGTCCTAAGCATCCAGCCTCAGCAGGTTTCTTAAAATTAGCCAGGCGTCAAGGCCAGACCAGGGCTGATGGCTGGGCTGCAAAGGGGAAGAGTCAAGTGAATGCAGAATGCAGCCATCAGGACTGAAAAAACATCAGGGGACTGTGGAGTCTAGGGCCAAGGCCCAGGGTCTCACCTCTGGCCTAGAGCCCCAGGCCTGGTGCTTCCCCTTCCCAATACAGCTGAGGGAGAGCTGGGCCTTTCTTTCAGTTTCTGCAAACCACCCACTCTCTTGTCCAGCAACTAGGCCACAGCAACTGTGGGCCAGCTTGGAGCTTCTGGAGGCCGTATATATTCATTCACTTGCCCACACTTAAGGAAGAGCTGAGTTACACTTGTCTCAAGGAACTTAAAAAACAAACAGAAAGTTGGAAATTCCGATGGGCCCACATTCCCTGGGGATGTTCACGGGTCCCAGATTCCAGCTCCCTTGCTGGGTGAGCCTGTCTTTAGTAGCTCCAGTCCATTCTCCATCCTGGAGAGTTCTTGCTGCGAAGCTGACCAGAACTCTTTGCATCAGAACTGAGTTTCCTCCATAGCTGCCCCTGCTCCACGTAACGGAAGCCGGAAGCTCTAGCTCACCACAGCTCTGCTGGGACCCTGGGCAAACTGGGACGTTGAAAGCTCAGCTCTTACACTTGGGGTTAATGGTGGTGGTTTTGTTGCTCTCCAGCTCTTTATCTGCAGAGTGGATTGAAACTGGGCGGCACCCACCCCACACCCACCCTTCACCCCCCATGATGCCGGGTTTGGGCAACCAGCAGAGCCCCTTAGGGGTGTGGGGTAGAGAGAGCAGGCCTGGGAACAAGAAAAGCCCCAACTCTGGAGTCACAGAGACCCAGGTGTCCTGTGAAACTGCAGGCAAGTTTTGTCATCTCTCTGCGTCTCCTTATATGCCAAAGGGAATCTTAAACCGAGCTTAAGAGGACTGCAAACTTCATGTGGCCAGCCTACTTCCTGGCACACTGCAGCCAGTGGGAGATTTGGATATTACTGGGCCTTCAGTTCAGAGCTGGCCTTACTGAGAACATCATCCACAAGGGGAACAAAGATGGAGATATAGTCCCAAGAGTTACTTGCAACCTCCAAGGTGGGAAAGGATGGCTGGACCCTGAGATTGAAGGTCCTCAGGGCCACGGTGGGGCTGGAGCAGGTGATAGCTGGGATCTCTACTGTGGCCCCTCTTTAATCTGCCTCCCTCAGTGATGTCAGTCAGGATTTCTTCAGGGTCAAGGCACAGGGAATCTAATTCCATAGGCTAAAACAAGAGGGAGAAGTTATTGGCTCCCATAAATGAAACGCCCAGGGCTTCAGGCACAGCTGGATGCAGGGGCTCAGATGTGCTCAGACTTCTGTATCTCTCCTTCTGGCTACACTTTTCCCTGTGTTGGCCCCATTCACAAGCTCACTATTCCCAAGAGGTAGCACAAACACCTACCAGCAAGCCCTGCAGAAAGTGAGCTGCTTTTTCCCTGACAGTTCCAGCAAAGGTCCTGGGTAGGGCTCTCATTGGCCAGGCCAGGGTCACCTAATCACCCCTACACCATCCTCTGATTGGCCAGACCTGGGTCACCTGAGCACACCCTCGCCCCCCTGCCCCCGCCATCGCCCACCCATCCCTACATAAACCAAACGGTCTGAGTGAGGGTGGGGACAGGAAGGAGCCCAAGGGATACCTGGGGGGTGTCGTTACCAGATGGAGGAGGTCCAGAGACAGGGTGGGCAGAACTAACAGTGGCCTAGAGGAGTTGGCCTCTGTTTAAGTGGTGATGGCCCGCTATACCAGGCCTCTTTCCCACACTGTAGACACGAGAAAGAAGATTCCCGTGGCTGGTCCTACAGGTCTCACTCCATTTCCGATGTGTTAGGCAGTGGGAGAGACAGGGGCATTTCTGCTGCCCTGCCTTGTGGGCAGCCCTGTTTCCTCACCACCCCATCTCTGTACTTATTCTGACGAGTGGTATGCTTGTTTCAGTCCCACATCCAGAGAAAAAAATTTACTCTCAAACCAGAAAAGTCTCTGTTTTTTTCCTGATAGAGAGGAAGTCCTCTTTCTCTCTTTCATTTATCATTGATTCGACAGTCACCTGCCATATACCAAGGCCGACAGCTGCTGGCTTAGCTTGGGTTGAGGGTGTTACCTTATCTCCAGGCTCAAGGTGGCAAACTGGTTTATGGAATGCCTGTTGTATACAATCATATCTTCATTCAACCCGGCCTAAGGAAGCTGACCCTGGGCCAGGATGTCCTGGGGACTCAGAGATGGATTGGAGGGAGCAAGTGTCTGGGCTGTGACCTGGCCAGCCTCAAGGACACAGAGCTCTCTCAACCTGATCTTGTTTCTGGGAGCAGAGAGCATGAACCGATCCTCCCACCTGGGCACCACCACCAAGGCGGCAAAGCCTGATGGCAGCCTACCCTATGCCCCCTCAGTAGAGACTTGCACTCCTGACACCCCAGGGTGCCCCCAGAGAGACAGTGGGTGCCCTTCCCGGTCATGCAACCTCGGACCATTACCCCAAACCTCGTTCAGTTCCAGGCCCCTCACTTTAAAGAGGAGACTCATCCCAATTGGTAGAATTGTCTATAGAGACTAACGAGATGATTGCTGTAAAAACTGCAATGCACAGTAGACACTGGATAAACGCGAGGTTCCTTCCCAGAGATGTGAACCAAGTTCAAAGGAGCAGCCCCTGGGGTGGTGGTCAAGAGATTAATATAATGGAGGGGTGTCGGGAAAGGCAGAAGCAAATGCTAACTGTCCCCGATACTCATTCCCTTTGCTTTCTTTTAGTGATATCACCCCAAGTTCTAGCTGGGCACCTAGTGACCCAGCACGGGACAGCATCTCCCAGCTTCCCTTGCGTCTGCAGTGGCATGACATTAAGGTCTGGCCAATGGCGTATAACCGGAAATGGTATGTGCAGTTCTGGGTTGCACATTTCAGAGAATGGAGGCATCCTCCCCTTCTTTTGTTTTCTGTCTGATGGCTGGAATGTTGTCATGATGACCAGAACTGCAACAGCTATCTTGTATCATGAGGGAGAATCTGTGGTCAGAGAATAGCACAGCAGCAAGCAAGAAGGAGCCTGGCTGTGTGTCCCATGTTGCCTTTCAGCCCTGCACAACTCACTCTTGAAGAGTCTCATGAGACAATGATTTCATGGTTTTTTGTTTAAACAACTGTTATTCTGGAGTTATAGCTGGTTTCGTCACTAAAACAGAGGGCTTCCAGGTTCCAGCCCACCCTCTGGACTCGGGAAGATCTAGTGCAGGTCCTCTCTGAACTTTAGCTTCTTCATGTATAAATAAAATAGTGAATATAAAAACATACATGGACATAGAACATGGTAGCTATTACTATTTCCACCCTGCCCTCTATGCATTCATTGACTAAAGTCACCAATTCCTTGATGCCACAGGGGCTAGAGTTACACAAAACTAACACTCTGCTGCTGCTTCTAAAAGTCTGGAACTGTAATCTTCAGGCTTATGAGAGGGTTCACATGTAGGAAGCCCCCACTCAGGGTTCGAAAATGGTAAAACAGTTGTCAGCCTGACTTAAATCCCACACCAGCCTCAGTAGGAGTCACGTAAGTACACGGAGCAGCCTTCCTCTCTACAGCAGCCTGAGCCTTACAGTTATCATTTCCCTGGAAAAAGGCAATCCTCTAGAAGAATTTTTAGATCTGCAGCGCATTTTAGAACTTCTTCCCTCCAAATGCAAAACTCTATCCTGGCACAGCCCAGGAGCAGGGTTTCATCTGAAGCTTGTGGGAATGTTTGTATCTCTTGAGTCTTTCTCTATTTCTCAATTCTTGGAAATTCCCCACAATGTGATCAAAATTGCGGCCCCTGTTTGTGCCAGCACCATGTGCCTCTTTGCCTCATCTCGCCTCCTGCTCTAACATGGTTCCTGCAGATGGTTCTCAGGCCTCCCTCCACTCAGCCAGGCTGGGCTCTGGCACTGGGGTTCCATAGCAGTGGTTTCTGAGTGCCTACTGTGTGCCAGGCACTGTTCTAGGCACCAGGGATACCACCAGGAACAAGACAGACACATCCCTGCCCACCCCCACCCCATGCCCTCCAGGGGCTAGTGTGGGAGAGTTGTGCCTCAGAGTGCTGGAGGTTCCAGGGACTGTTGGAACCAGACGAGGGGATCCTAACCTCCTAAGGGGTCAGGGAGGGCTTTTCTGAGCTACACTGAGGCTGAAAGGATGAATGGGAAACAATCCAGAGAAGGTAGGTGGGGATGAAGAAAGGCCCTCTAGGCAGACTGTATCAGTTAGCTTATGCTGCATGACAAACAACCCCCAAACCTCGTGGCTGAAAACAACACACCATGTATTGTTGCCTGTGATTCTGTGGGTCAGCCAGGTTGTTCTGCTGATCTGGACTCAGCTTGATCAATCCCTGCTGGGCTCCTTAAAGCATCTTTGGTCAACTGAAGGTTTGGCTGGTGGGCCAGCTATGGGCTGGGTGACAGGGGTGCCTAAGCTGTGGGCCTCTGAGCATCCAGCAAACTAGCCAGGGCCTGTTCACATGGGATTGGTACTGGCATGGCATCACTTCCACTGTATTCTGTTGGTCAAAGCAAGTCACAAGGCCAGCTCAGACTTAAGGAGTGTGAGAAGAGCTGCAAAGTTACATGCAAATGGACATGGACACAGGCAGGGGTGAAAAATTGGGGCCATTTCTGCATCCATCCAACATACACACAAAAGGAACACAAAGGAGAAAGGCCAGCTCTTAACAATCTAGCCCATTCCAAGAGCCACAGTGGTTGGGCTGCAGGGCTCCAGGGGGAAACAGGCTCCGTGAGCCAGACTCAAGAGGTCAAGCTTCCCTTTACCGGCAGTGGAGAACGATGAAGGGTGCTAGGCGGCAGAGTGCTTTCTAATTTCACTTTAGAGCAGTTTGATGGCCACTGCCTCTCTCAATTCAGACATCTGGTCTGGAAAAATCCCAACAATAAAGAACTATAGGGAGAAGAATGCAAGTGGTGTTTTAAACCTGAATCCTCTGGGTGCCTGGGTGGCTCAGTCGGTTAAGTGTCTGCCTTCAGTTCGGGTCTTGATCTCAGGGTCCTGGGATCAATCCCTGCATCAGGCTCCTTGCTTGCTGGAGAGTCTGCTTCTCCCTCTGCCCCTCCTCCCACTTGTTCTCTGAATCTCCCTCCTTTCTCTCTGAAATAACTAAATAAACCTGTGTCCTGCAAATCTTACACCCTCCTCAGAGGAAAGCACTACTATTACCTTGGTGTGAATCCTTTCAGACCTTCTTTCATACCTTCACTTACACACACACACAGAAACACACACACTCATACGCTCACACACACAGGTGGCAGGGGAGCGTATTCCACAGACTCATTCTGGTTCATTCGTTTTCATCTTGAAGATTTATCTATCTAGGGGTGGCTGGGTGGGTCAGTGGGTTGAGCCGCTGCCTTCGGCTCAGGTCATGATCTTAGGGTCCTGGGATCGAGCCCCGAGCTCCACACCCGATGTGGGGCTAGAACTCCCAACCGTGAGACTGAGAGCCGCATGCTCCACCACCTGAGGCAGCCAGGTGGCCCTCTGGTTCACTCGTTGTCTCTGCCTTGCACTCCTCTACCAAGTGAGTGGACCATGACTTAAGCGTCCTCACTTCCCCAGCTGCGGATTCGGGTTGTTCTGGACTTGCGTGTGAGCCCCTGTATCTCTCAGTGTGAGAGTTTCTCCCCAACTTCTCCCCGGAACAGAGCAACACAGCTGGGACGTGGCCCAAATCTGTAGCTCTCCTTGTGTTAGATGTCACCACGCTGCTTCCCAAAGCGGCTCCCACTCCCAGCAGCTGTGATTTCTTGAAGGCCTGGCCACCCAGCATCTGCATGAGAGAGACGTAAATACCTGTCATGCCAGCAGGTGGGGAAAACCACCTGGGCCTGTACTAATTCACCCATCGTTTCAAATGGCTGCACGGTATTGGGTACTCAGGGAGTACTTCAGCCAAACCTCGAGGGATTCTTCTGGCAGTTCTCTCTCTCTCTCTCTTTTTTTCTTTTTCCAGATAATGCATCAATTGTTTCTTTTCTGACTAAGGCAATTCTAGGACAGAGAAGGGGAGTTGCTGAGTTCAAGGGAATACCTTTCCAAAGCAGGCTGCCCCCCAATTCCCTCTCCTGGTGGAGGCACTGGATGCACTTCCTGCATCCGTACCTACACTGCCTTTAATTTTAGTCAGTTTGATGGAAAATAGTATCTTATCGCTGTTTCAGTGTGAATTTTCCTGAGTGCCAATGAGGTCGAGAAACACCACTTCTTGAGAAACCAAGGGTGGCAGTGGCCTGAGAACAGGAGTGGCATTGAGGTAAGTGAGCCTAGAGGCCTCAGTGGCCACTTCCACGCCCCAGGTGTGCCCAGTTCCCCATCATCCTCTCCAGGCCCTATGAGGGTAGAGGGCGCAGGAAGGACCGTCATCTCAGCGCAGATCATTTTGCCACGGGAAAAGTCAATTGAAAAATCAATTGACTCACCCAAGGTCACATAGGAGTGGGGGGCCAAGCTGGGCGTCCGTGCACAGGGCAGTATTGCAGTGCCCCATCCCAGCCCTCCTGCCCCAATCAGTAGCCCACACAGCCTCCCAGCCCAATCAGGGGCTAATTGGAGTGGTGGGGCTGGGCTGTTGATATATAAGAGGAACGAGCAGCCCTAGAAGTTTCATGCCTCGGGAGGGGTCTGACCATCAGCGTCTGCGTCCCCGTCTACCCATGCAATGGCTCCTGGGAGCTTTGCCTCCAGCGACATCTCGACGTCCTCAGTGTCCTCAGCCCCCTTGCCCTCCACAGTGGGGCCTTCCGGGCTGTCTGGGTCTGAAGAGCCAGGTAGGTCCCCGCGAGCCCGTTCCTTGGGTGTCCTGGACCCTCCTTGTGCCACCCAGCCTCCTCTCCCAGCCCAGCACCAGCACCCATCCTAGCGGCTGTGGACTTGAGGTGTTCATTTGGCAGAAGAGCTGATGCCTGGACTTAGCAGGGGCCGGGAAAGGGGGCCAGGGTCTGGGGACTGAGGCTGGCCCAGCTCAGGGGAAGAGGGCAGAGCGGGCCTCCGCAGCTGGAGCCCACTTCCTGTTGGGGGAGGGCTGGCAGCCACACTGCAGCTGAGGGCAGCTAGTTGGAGGAAGGGTGGGGGGGGGGAACGGAGAGCAAGCGTTTGATGCTAGGCTGGGCCTTGGATTTAGGGCTGTGTCCCAATTTGCAATCAACAAACAATGCCTCAGGGTTTCTCTGGATATGGAGAGGTTCATTCCCACCAGGAGCTCTTGGTCTGATGGGGAAGACTGCCTCATTAATGGATGCCATTTCATAATGTGGCACGTGCTCTGACGCCAGGAATGCAGAGGGCTGTCGGAGGCCCAAGGAGTCGCTAACCCACTCTGGGAGGTCGAGGAGGGCTTTCTGGAGGCGGTGACCCCCTGAAGGAGGTCGCCCTTCAGGTGGCCTTACCCAGAAGAAACGGGTGTGAGTAAATGCTCCTTCAGAGAAGGTTGGAGGGTGGGTTCCAGGTGCTTTGGAGCCTGGGGCAGTGTTGCTCACCAGAGAACTTCCTTGAGAAGTCAGGGCAGGTGTCCAAATCATGGTGCTGCATGGGCCTTCAAGGACGAGTGAGGGCTACATGAGTGACCATGGGGGATAAAGGCCGCCCAGGCAAGAGAAGAGCACGGGTGAAGGCCCAGAGGTGAGGGGGTTGGGGCAAGCATCCGGGGAGTCACAGGCCCTCCTCCGGCCAGGGGCAGGGGGGCGGGGCAGGAGGAGGGGACGGCTAGGACCTGCCAGCTGAGCCTCCAAGCCTTCACCAGGGCCTTGGGCCCTTTCCACTGAGGGCAGTGGGAAAGGCAGGGAGGAGAGGTGCAGGGGGAAGGCGGCTGCGGTGCTTGGGATGGAGAGGTGGGAAGTCTATGAAGAAGGGGTGGGGAAGAGAGGTCCAGATGTTCTCCAGGTTCTTGCTTGGGTGTCCAGGTAGGTATGGTGGGTGCCATTCCTGGGAGAGAGAGGATGGAGGACAAGTTTGGGGAGCTAGGAGTTCTTTTCTGGTCATCCCAGGAAATAGCAGGCGTTGAATAATGCAGAATGAGGAACTGCATTCAGCTTCAGGGAGTGGGGAAGGAAGAGACTTGGGGTGGCTCCCTGGGACAGGGCCGGGTTTGGAGGAGGCAGGGGACGGGTTAGAACTGTCACTGCAGGCCAGGCTGAAGGACACCGCAGCTGGGAGGGTGCAGACTTTCTTAGACACCCCATCCCCACTGTACAGAAGGGAAGACTAAGGCCCAGAGAGGAGAGTGAAACTCCCAGGGTCCTGGGTGTGGCTGACCAGCAATTCCACCCATTTCCAAGCTTTTGGCCCAAAGTTCCCAGACACTGGGCTCTTCCTGGCCAGGAGGCAGCAACAATTGAATTGGATTAGGTCTCTACAGTTCTTTTGCCTTTTTTCCCTCTTCTACTTCAAAATGTGTTTTAAAAAACATATTTTTTAGCCAATCAATTCCTTTTAAAAAGTCTTTCATTTTTGCAAATTGATCAGAAGCCATTTCTAATCACCACATTTAAATCAGGCTTCATATTTAAAACACTTTTATGCCCCTGATAGTGACCAGCAGCTTTTCTTCCCTTGATCCTATTTTCTTTTACAACTTAAAAAAAATAAATAACAGATAATTGAAGATCTCAGTAATTCACATACCATTCAATTCACCCATTTAAAGGGTGCAGTGGCTTTTAGTATATTCACAGCTGTGTATCCATCTCCACAGGCAATTTTAGAATATTTTCATCCCCTTAAAAGAAAACCCGTAGCCCTTAAAGTCACTGCCCCTCCCCACCCTCAATCCCCAGGCCCCAGCAACCACTAATCTACTTTCTGTCTGTGATTATCCCATTCTGGACATTTCATATAAATGGCACCCAGCATGTTTTCAAGGAAGAACTTCATTCCTTCTTTCGGCTGGATGATACTCCATTTTATGGCTAATACCGTGTTCTGTTTATCCAATTCATTAGTTTATGGACATTTGAGTTTCTACTTTGGGCCATTATAAATAATGCTGCTGTGAACATTTGTGTATAAATCTTCATTTGAACATGGGTTTTCATTTCTCTTGAGTATACATACCTAGGAGTGGGATTCTTTTGTAATTTCTTATGTATGGAAACTTCCAAACACATGCAGAAATAGACTGAGTGGTATAGTGTCCCCCACCCCCAACTCCCTTCCCTGTGCACCCATCATCCAGCTTCAACACTTATCGGGTCCTCGGTACTCTTTCTTTCACCTACTGTGTCATTTCAAAGCAAATGCCAAGGTTATCATTTCACCTATAAATAGTCCTGCATTTATCTTTGTTTTTTATTTTTAATTTTAATTTTTTTTTTTTTGAGAGGAGTAGGTGCATGTGTAGGGTGTGGCAGGGAGAGGGAGAGGGGAGGAGAGAATCAAGTACGGAAGTTCCAAGCCCACTGCAGAGCTCGACCCAGGGCTTGATCTCACGACTCTGAGATCATGACCTGAGCTGAAATCAAAAGTCAGACACTTAACTGACTGAGCCACCTGGGTGCCCCATCTTAATTTTTTAAAGCTATTTTTAATTGATATACAATATTCTATTAGTTTTAAGTACATAACCATACAAATTAATTATTTGTATGCATAATGAAATGCCTACCATGATTAAGTGTAGTTATCCTGTTAGTGATATCAAACTGTCTGACTTATTTCACTTAGCATAATACCTCCTCAGTCTACCCCATGTTGTTGCAAATGACAAGATTAGGGCTGAGTAATATTCCACTGGATCCAAGAGTAGGTCTTCTTTATCCATTCATCTATTTGTGGACATGAGTTGTTTCCATATCTTGACTATTATCAATAATGCTGCAATGAACATAGGGATGTATATAGCTTTTTGAACTAGTGCTTTTGTTTTCTTCAGATAAATATGCAGAAATGGAATTGCTGGGTAGTGGGGTAGTTCTATTTTTCAGTTTTGAGGAACCTCCATACTGTTTTCCAGAGTGGTTGCATCAGTTTACATTCTCACCGGTAGTACACAAGGGTTCCCTTTTCTCCACAGTCTTGCCAACACTTGTTATTCTTGTCTTCTTTTTTTTTTTTTTTTAAGTAGCTCCATGCCCAGCATGGAGACCAATACAGGGATTGAACTCACAATCCTGAGATCAAGACTTGAATTGATATCAAGAGCCAGATGCTTAACCAACTGAGGCAAGCAGGCACCCCTATTTATTTCATGTCTTTTTACTATTAGCCATTGTAACAGGTGTGAGCTCCTGTCTTCGTTGTGCCTGTGATTTGCACTCCCCTGATGATTAGTGATATCAAACATCTTTTCATGTGCCTGATGGCCATGTGTATGACATTGGAGAAATGTCTATTCAAATCCTCTGTCCTCTTTTTAATCAGATTGGTTTTTTGGTTACTGAGTTGTAGGAGTTCTTTATATATTTTAGATATTAACCCCTTATGGGATATATCACTTGCAAGTATCTTCTCCCATTCAATAGGTTGCCTTTTCATTTTGTGATGATTTCCTTCGCTCTGCAAAGATTTTTTTTTTTTAGTTTGATATGATCCTAATCATTTATTTTTGCTTCCGTTGCCCTTGGTATTTACCTTTAAAAGAAGATAGCCTCTTACAAAGTAACTGTGATACCATCAGCAAACCCCCCAAATTATCACCCTTAATCTCACCAAACTTCTCCAATGCTCACATTTATCTGTTTGCCTCCCCTCCACACGCCCCCTCCTCCCCGGTTGGCTCATTTAGGTCCCGCTCTGAGTTTGAACAAAGGATCCCACGTTACATTTGCTTGGACGGGCTCTGCAGTGTCTTTATCTCTAGGTCCCCTTCCCACTTTTTCTTTTCCTCCTTGTTTATTTGTAGAAGAAGCTGGGCTGTGCGTCCTGGAAAGCTCACGGGCTGGATTTCGCTGATTTCCTCCCTGTGGCCCTCTCACTGAGCCTCTGGATTTCCTGTAAACGGGGAGTTAGGCTTAGACAACTGACCTGATGTATTTGGTTTTCTAAAAGGACTATTTAGTTCTTTCAGTGAGGCTCTAAGGAGCGCCCGGTGTGGGCCCAGCCCGGCGCCAGTCACTGGGAGCCAGTGGCCAGACAAGCAGTCTGCCCCCCAACCTTGGGCTGCCCACCTGGGTGTATCTGATCTCCCCCACAGACCCCTGACCCACACCCCCATGCGGCTTGGCCGGTGCCTGGTGGGTGCTCTGCCAGGCAGGTCGGTGGTCTGTCGGGCCGGAGTGGGGGTCTGGCTGGGCACCAGGTGACGTGCCACTGTCCGCCCACAGGCCCGAGTCGCAGCGCCATCCGAGGGCCTCGCCGCCACCCGCCTGTGCTACGCATGGTCCTGGAGGCACTGCAGGCAGGAGAGCAGCGCCGGGGCACCTCTGTGGCTGCCATCAAGCTTTACATCCTGCAGAAGTACCCTACGGCGGACAGCCTCCGGTTCAAGCACCTGCTGAAGCAGGCCCTGGCCACAGGCGTGCACCGCGGTCTGCTCATTAGGCCCACCAACTCCAAGGCCAGGGGCGCCACTGGCAGCTTCAAAGTGAGCCTGCTGGGGCTGGAGAGTGGGGCTGGGGGAGGCCGCAGGGTGGGAGGGTCTGGGCTCCAGACTTTGAGCTTCAGCCCAGCTCCTCCTCCCCAGTCCCCACCCCCGGGGGGCTGTTCCCCATCTTCTCTTCTTGTCTTCCTCCTGTCTTCTTGGACATACCCTCTCCTCCAGGAGGGTGGTGCTGTGCCTCCGTCAAGAGCTCCAATTCACCAGCTGCATCTGCCTTCATCCCTGTCCCATGTGTTCTATGACCAGGGACTATCTCAGCTGTGTTCACTCAGAGTCCTTAGTGCCCACAACACCTGCCTGGAATTCTCCATCATGGACAAGGCACACCCAACCATGGGCTCTAGAAGGTCACAGGTTTGCACCCCACGCTCTCTGGCTCTAAACACCAGGTCTCCAGACCAAGGCTTACACCTCCCTAAGCCACCCCATCCTCCCCTTTCAAAGGGAAGGGTCCCGGAGGGAAGCCATCCAGGGACACCTAGAGCTGAGGGCAGATTGGGCATAAAATCCAACCCGAGCATGTGACTGTCCACTGCCACCAGAGAAGTCTTGGGGACCTGGACATGGGGTCTGTCTTGTCATTGCTGGGCCCCAGCACGTGGCAGTTGCTCTAACGTAACCATAGAACACTGTGGAACTTTCTCAATCTACCATGTTCCGGTTCCTGTGGTAACCAGGTGGCCGAGGACAGCAAGTTCCTCACAGAACTCCCAGGCGAGGGTCAGAGCTTGGATACAAGCTATGGCAAGTCCAGGGGCACGGGGCAGGGGTGGGTGAAGGAGAGCAAGGTGGGGGCACTGAGGGTGCTTGTGGCTAGGTTAGGCTGCAGGACCTGAGAGCCCATCCGTAAAGTGGGCTGAGAGGAGGGGAGGCGAGGAAGGGAGCTCGGAGTAAAGGTCGTGGAGTTATGAATGTGTGTGTGCTAGGAGGGGAGGTTGTTTCTGGTCGTGATGATAATGAGATTTGGGGAGCAGAGGGGGTAACATCACTAGAGGCAGGCTGTAGAAGGAGGAGGCCACCTGTTTGCCAGGACCCTCACATACCCCTGCCTCTCACCCACTCCCTGATGGCCCCATTGTAAAGATGGGAAGACTGAGGCCAGTGAGAGACCAGAAGACTTGGCTGAGTTCCACAGAAGTTGTGAACTCTCAGCTTTCTGACTTGGAGGGTCCACCCAAGGCAAAAGGGGAAAAAGGAGACTCAGGGAGGCATGGAGGTATGAGGCATGAGGTGAGGGGCAGGGCCTAGGGAGGAGGAGGGGGAGTCAGAGCCATGGTGCATGTGAAGGTGTATGGGCTGGGAGGTCCAAGGAGATTTGTAGATTAGCATCTCCGAGGATGGGTCAGGACTCCTAATGTGTGCTGTGCAATTTACTCCCAGGAGCCTGGCTTTGAGCCTTCCAGACTTCGGGGGCAGGAGGGGGTTTGCCTATGCTCTCCTGCCACTGCCTATGCCCTCCTGCCAGCCAGCTATGCAGGAAGTATGAGAACCTAGGTTGTGTCTAGGAGGCTTGGGCCCCCCAGCTCTCAGTGGCAGCACCCCTCCCTCAAAGAGCCGTACAGGGATAGAATGTGTCTTTGGCATCTGGCATCTGGGACGTGTTCATGCCCTTGACCACCTTCTTCCCTCTTTGGAACAAGGCCGCCTTCTCTGAGCCTCGTGTAGTGTGTAGGGGTGCGAGACCCTGAGAACTTATGCTCTCAATTCCACTCCATTCTTTCCTCTACCAGTTGGTTCCCAAGCATAAAAGGAAGGTCCAACCCAGGAAGACATCCACCAAGACCGCCCCCAGGAAACCCAGTGAGACCAAGGAGAAGGTCCCTAAGAAACCAAGAGAGGCAAAGAAGGACCCTTCTAACCCAGCTGAGGTGAAAAGGGGACCAAAGAAGCCTCGAGAGGCAAGGATGGCTCCTCCCAAACCAGGTACAGCCAAAGAGAAGGCTCCCAAGAAAGGCGGCCAGACCAAAGACCAAGAGGCAAGAGTGAGTGAGGCCAGAAAGGCCTCTCAACAGCCAGACAAGGCCCCATGGGCTCCTCCCAGTGCCACTGGGCTCAGTGAGAAGTCAAAGGTCAAAGGCAGAAGGAAGAGCCAAGGTAGGTGTGTGAGGGGGCTGGGAGGAGAGCTTGGGGACAAGTGTTTGTGGCAGCTGCTGGATATGAGGTGGGAGGGAAGGAGAGGCCTGCTCTGGGGAAGAGGTTCTTTATCTATACATGTGGCTGAGTGCTTGGCTTGACCTGGAGAGTTGGAGAACTCATGGTAGCTGCGGTAGGGGGAGGTTTAGGGAAGGGGAAACCCAGAGAGAAGAGGAGCCTGGCTCATCTGAGAGGAGTCAGGGGAAGTTTCCTAGAATAAGTGTCCTAGGGAGGACAACAGCCTGTGCAAAGGCCCAGAGGCATGAAGAAGGTAGAGGTATTGAGGAAGTGCAAATTGTTCTGTGTGCAATATGGGAAGTAGAAGGGGGAGCCTGTGAAAGGCAGCTGGGAGTCTGGACCAGATCTGGAGGACAGCAAAGACATGGAAGGAATTTGAACAGGGAACAGCTAAGGTACAGAGTATTTTTAAAAATATATCACGGCTGCCGTGTGGAAGGCAGGCTAAAGACTAGAGACCAATAAACCAGTTAGGGATCTTTGGTGAGGGTGAACACAGCAAGGGGGGTGCTCCGCCTGGTGCCTTGCACAGAGTGGGGGATGGTCTCCCACTGTCCAGTTAATCCCCCAACCATCTCATGAGAGAGATGCTGTTACCCCCAGTTTGTAGACAAGGGCACCCAGGCTCAAGATACCAACTGCCTTGCCCCAGGTCACATAGCCAATAAGTATCAGAGTGAGGACTAGGGCCCCTGAACCTTCAGCAGCTCCTCCTGAAAGGGCTCCTTCCCACATGCTCTCCCCTACCCTCTGACAGGTGGTGAGGCCACCAGGAAGACAAAAGCTGGGGGTCAGAGTGTAAAATCCACGGTCCCTAAGGTAGGTCCTGCATGACTTCCATGGTCTGGATCTCCATGCTGAGCAGGCCAGAGCTTGGGCATCCTGCACCAGGCCCCCGGGAGGGTCTAGAGAAAGGAGAATTTGTGGAGAAGGGAGTAATTTTCTTTGATACAAAGTTCTGTTCACTTCCATCTGGCCCTCCAGTGCTCTGAGGATCCTCACCCCTGTTTCCCACATAAGACCCAGGCTGAGGTTGGGGCCCCTTGTCCAAAGCCACCCAGATTTCTCCCCAGCTTGGAACCCGCTGGGATTTCAACCCTATTCTTGGGGGCTCTAAGCTATGCATCCAACCCTGCCCCACTCTGTTCTTACTTACGGTTTGCTTTCTTTTATAGGGCAAGAATGGTGCTGCTTCTCCAGCCAAAAAGAAGGAAAACCACATCCCTAAAGAGGTCATTGCCCATGTGGCCAAGGAGGGGCCCAAAGCCAAGGCCTCTGCTCGTCCCAGGGGTGGCGGGTCTAAGATGGTACCTGAACCCCTGGCCAGGAAGATAGAGGCCCCCAAGGGCCCGAGGAGGCCGGGCATGCCCACCAAGTCCTCATCATCCAAACTGGCCAGTAGGAAGGTGGAGGCTGAAAGCTAGAGCTGGGGTGGAGACACGGAAATCCTACCTGAGTTTTTATTCCCCCAAAAACTGTCACTCTATTTATTTCATTGTAACCTATTTATCAATAAAGACTTTTTTCCGTCACAAATCGGTGTGGGTGGAGGCTGAGGTCCAAGGATTTTGGCCACCTGCAGCTCGAGTCCAGATAGGAGATCCTTCCCAGGCGGAGACCGGCTGTACAACATAAAGGGCTGCTGCAGGGCTCCAAGCTACGTAGGGGCCTATGGAGGGACAGGAGGGCTGTTAAATCCAGCCTGCAATCTGGAACTGCTTCCCAGGAGGTGGATTTTGGTCCTAAAGGATGAGCAGGAGACAGCTCAGCGGGGAAGGGCACTGTAGGCAGAGAACCCAGAATGTGCAGTGGGGCTGGCCAGTATCATGGAAGGAGGGGGTTTGTGGCTCTGAGAGGAGCTCGGGATGGGGAGAGGGTGTGGGATGGGTGGATGAGGGGAAGGTAGACAGTGGTGGGGGGGGAGCTGGGAGGGTTATGGGCGGGGGAGAGATTAATACGGTTAGTGTGTGTTTAGAAAGAGCCCTCTGGGGGTGTCTGGGTGGCTCAGTCAGTTGGGCATCTGTCTTTGGCTCGGGTCATGATCTCAGGATCTTGGGATCGAGTCCCATGTCGGGCTCCCTGCTCAGCAGGAAGTCTGCTTGTCCCTCTGTTCCTTCCCTTGCTTGTTCTCTCTCTGTCTCAAATAAATCTGAAAGAAGATTCCTCTGGCTATGGAGAGGACCATTCAACAGCTGGTTACTGAGCAGGGCCCTGCTCTAATCAACAGGAGGAGGAGAGAGTGCAAAGGCCCTGTGGTGGAAACCTGCTTGACAGGTTCAAAGAGCCTCAGGGAGTTCCATGGGGCTAAAGTCCAATGAGGAGGGACAGTAGTGGGAAATGAGATCCATGGTGCTTTAAAAACACGTGTGACCCTCTTCCCAGAGGGAGGTGGAGTCTGTGCCCCTGCCTCTTACATCTGGGCTCTGTGATTGCTTGAATAGTAAAATACCGCAGAAGGGACATTATGACTGTCTCTGGGCCTAGACCTTAGGAGACTGGCTGCTTCTGCTCCCTGTGTGTCCTGCGGTTTCATTTTGCTTGGTCTCCGTTATCTGTGGGCAGCCCAACTCTGGAAGCAGTTGACCCTCCTGATGGATCATCCAAGAGTTAATAGCCTAACGCTAGGTCACAGTCCCTCTGTCCTACCCCTCGTGGCACCTCCTCGTGCAGACCTTGTATCCTCTCCTGTCACAAGAAGGGTGAGGACCATACAATAAGTTATTCTGAGAGAAAGAGCCCGCAGTCCCATGATTATAGTACCTTGTTACAGTTGCTTGATTTCATTACTACTTGCTGATCTCTTACTCTGCCTAATTTATAAATGAAATTTATCGTGGGTATGTATGTCTAGGAAAAGACATAGTACATACTGGGTTTGTACTGTTTGTGGTGTCAGGCTTCCATGGGTGTCTCCCCATGGAGGGGGGGGGCTAAATGTAAATGTTTTAAGCCCTGAGGACTGGGGTGGTTCGTAACGCAGCAGTAGGTCACCACACAGAGACTGTAGGCTAAGGCTAGATCGGGAAGGGTGTTGTCAGACAAGGGAAGATCTCTGGGTTTCATTTTAATCATGAGGAGGAACCATTAGAGGCCCATGAACAGCTGAGTCCAGCAAGGGACATGGGCAGTGAAGAGGCCCGGCCATGGTCCCGAGGAGGGGAGCTGTTCATGGAAGGAGGGCTTAGAAGTGGTCCGTTCTGAGTGGAAGTTTAAGCAGGGTGGATGGGATCTGTTGAAGTATTGTGTGGAAGAAAGGGGTCACAGAAGAGTCTACAGTGTGGTGTGGACACAGCCTAGTGACCCCACGGTGACCATTTCCTGGGGTGAGGACTCAGCCCGGGCAGGAGGCTGCTGAGAGGGAGCCCAGTCGAGGGTTGACAGCTGAGGCAGGGAGGAGCAGAGAAGGAAGGGGTGAGGAAGTGCACAGGGAAAGGTAGGAGACTGGACAGGACTCAGGAAAGGGGGAAGACAGGGCATAGAGGGAAACCGATGTAGGCCAGCATGGAGCATTGGGCAGTTCCTTCCTGCCCCTGCTCCCTCAGCCCTGTCCTCACTGCCTCGAATCCCACGTGAGGCTTTTTCTAGCTGTGCTACCAGCTTCCCTGGGGTATCAGTAAGGAGGCTGCCAGCTGCGCCCCAAGGGTACTGTGAGCAGACAGCAGGGGCCAGGCTGGTGCTTCCCATGGAAAGGGTCTGCTTGTGCCCTTGCTCCTTTCACGGTTTGGTAGGGGGTTGAGGGAGGCACCTGGCCAGGCTCCTGAGTGGCATCCCTGGGCCTTGCACCTCCATGAGCTGGGGGGGCGGGGAGTACCCCAGGTCTGGCCTAGGCCGGACAGCATCCAGCACCCAGGGAACACGGCCAAGTGTCCTCCCTGCTTGAGGACACCGTGCTGAAGTGTCCATGACCTTCCATGACCTTCAGACAGTGAAGGGGTACCTGTTGCTGCACGGCAAGTCTTCAGGTCCCCAGGTAACTATGGGCGCCCACCTTCTGTGCTGAGAAGTGACCCCCAGAAACTAGAGAGATTTCTTCCATGTGCCAACATGTTTCTAAACTTCAAGAAGGAACTGTGTGTTCGTCAGGCGTGACAACAGGCTGCAGAATATTTAATGCCACGGGAAGATGTCATGACATATGGTTGCATGGGGAAAAGGCAGGTTACGGAACAGTGCGTACACCCTGGTCCCAGATTTATGCAGCCCTTGGCCCAGGTGGGCACACGATCTGGGCCAGTGTTCTCTGGGACATGAACTGTGGGTGGGTTAGGAGAGCTTGGATATCCTGACATTTTGGCAGGAAACATATATTCATTCTAAAATCACACCAAAAAAAAAAAAAAATCCCTATCAAATGTGTCAATAACTTAAATTAGAAAATCTGCTGCTTAATGAAAAGGAATCAGTGCTCAGAATAGAAAATTTGAAAAGATAAAGAATCTGTCTCCACCCAGAAGCCCCTACAGGAAAAGGCTCTTTATAAATCTAAAAATTGTTCATTTTTCTTTTCTTACTTCTCTGTTCTCATTAATTCTAGAACTGGTATTTGTGGGATTTTGTTTGAAATAGTATGAATTTTTCTATCCTAGTTCTTGATAAATGGGTGCTTTGCTTTTCCCCCATTATGATGGAAAAATGATTAACTTAAGTTGTTTCTAAGTTGGAGCTAGTTCTCTAATGACCTTTTCTTGGGGGACAGTGATGAGACTCACCCCCAGCTCGGGCCCAGAGCCCGTTGGGTGGGCTGGGGGTTCTGTGGTCATGCTGACCCCAAGGTTGACCCTCCTGAGGAAAGGACTGCCCCTCTGGGAACAGTCTAGGGTTACACTGGCCTTGGGGAAACTGTGCATTTCCTCACATGAAAAAAAAATAATGGGGTTTTCAAAATTGAGGAAATATTTAGGGGGCATATGTAAATATCAGTTTTCCTTTCTAGGGCTGTCCCCTTGACCTCCCCATGCATATGGGGGCCATGGTGGCGACTGCCTGGAGGAAGCACAAAATGGACACGCAACCTGGTTTTGGTCCCCACTTTGTTACTCCCTGGCCTTTGAGGATTCTTCCACTGTGCTGAGGGTCCATTTCTACATCTGTAAAATGGGTATCATGTTCCGTTCCTCACTGGCCTATTATAAAGGTAAGAGGAGCAGGGCCTACCCAGGTGTAGGTGGCACGTGGTCGCCATGACATCTTCCTGGAGGGCCCATGAGAGCCCTCCAAGCCCAGGAAGCTCAGCTATGGGCCAGGCCCCGGCCAAGCTGACTTTGTCCCACTGAGCCCTGCCACTGGCTCCCCAGGGCTCGGGCCGTACATGCTCCTCCTCATGCAGGAATATGGCCGAGGCAGGGCTCCACCCACCACCGCCCCTCTCCTTTCTACTACGAGCACACATTTCCCTCCTTGGCCATCTCAGGATAAAAGGCTTGAGCCCACAGCAGGTTTTCCCATCAGGCTTTTATTATAAAGAAGGTTCCAGAGCGTCCCAGCCACCCCCTCCAGCCCAGCCCCCGCAGGCTCGGAGCCAGTCCCAGCACTGGCTGGGTGTGCTGCGGGGGGAGCTGGCCCAGCCACGGAGGGTGGCTTCTCACAGGAACAGAAAAATGGGTGATTTTTTTTTTTTTTTCCAGGGCCTTGGGTGTTGGGGGGTGGGGTTCTCTGCCAGGTCTGCCTGTTCTCTGGAACAGTCCTTTCCAGTGTTGTGGTGAGAGCCCTTGGGGACCCCTCCCCAGGTCCTCTGCACAAGCGGCAGCTATTCACAGTTGGCGCGTGATAAGTTTTTTAATATATAAAAGCTTTAAAAAAAAAAAAAAAAAGTGGTGCTATCTTTAGAAACACTTCCAGCAAGATCAAGTAGCCCAGCTACAGCCTTGGTACAACATAAGCCCCTCTCCCCTCCCTGCAGCCCAGCAGCGCTCAGCACCTGTCCCCTGGTGCTCTGCCCACCCAGCTGGGGGGAAGAGCCCACGGAGCCTGCCCACGGGCAGCCGCTCCAGCGACCGACACCTGACGCTGCCGGGAACCACGCGTCGCCAGGATCCTCTCTGGGTGACCAAAGACGGAGGGAACGTTTGGATGGTTGAAGCAGAAACCACTCGAGGGCTGGCTCAAGGAGGCCTCCTCTCCGCCACATGGGATGAGGTAGTGTTTCTGGCTGGGGCCTGGGGGCCAGGGGCTCATCTCTGTGGAGGGCCCTGGGCCCTGGGGGGCGGGGCTCACAGCAGCCGTGGTGGTTGCAGAGCTGGGGGGGTGGGGGCTCCATCCAGGCTGTGCTTGGGGGCGGGTGGGAGCCTTACCAGGGGTGGGCTGTGCCTTTCAGGTCCCCAAACCAGAGATCAGGTCTGGGGGCTGGTGGGAGGGGACAGAAGTGTCCAAGGGGCTCGGGGCTGGGGGCTCCTCTGCCTGGTGCAGAGAAGCCCCTCCATTGCCCCCCCAGCCTCCCCGAAGCTGACCCTGCTCAGTCCTTCCCCAGCCAGAGTCCGAGGCACGGGGCACAAAGTGCGGTCACGGTCGTGCGCGTCCCCAGGCTCA